CTATGAGTTCTTTGTACACTTTGGAAATTAGCCCCTTATCAGATTCATCCTTGGCAAATATGCTTTCCCAGACCGTGGGGTTCCTTGTATTTTGAGGCTGTTTTCTTTTGCTGTACAGAAGATTTTTAGTTTGATGTAGTCCCATATGTTTATTTTTTCCTTTGTTTCTCTTGCCCTAGGAGATGNGAGATGTATCAGTGAAAAGTCCACTACGTGGGATGTCTGTGACTTTACTGCCTATGTTTTCTTCCAGGATTTTTATGGTTTCGTGACTTACATTTAAGTCTTTTATCCATTTTGAGTTTATTTTTGTGTATGGTGAATGTTGGTGGTTTAGTTTCATTCTTTTGCATATGTCTGTCCAATTTTCCCAACACCACTTATTGAATAGACTGTCTTTACTCCATTGTATGCTCTTGCCTCCTTTGTCAAATATTAACTGACCATAATGGTGTGGGTCTATTTCTGGGGTCTCTGTTCTGTTCCATTGATCTGTATGCCTGTTGTTGTACCAATACCAGGCCGTTTTGATTACAGTGGCTTTGGAATATAGTTTGAAGTCTGGTAATGTGATCCCTCCCACTCTGTTCTTCTTTCTCAAGATGGCTGCAGCTATTCGGGGATCTTTTTTGGTTCCATATAAATTTTCAAAATGTTTGTTCTAGGTCTGTGAAATACTGTGCTTATTCTTGACTACACATCTTCCTCCATTAACTCCGCCCCACCTCCAAGAGACTTTTTAGAAGCCATAGGACTTTGCAGAGAACAGTTTGAAAATTTTTGATTCTAGATGTAGAAGTTGAGGCTTAGAAAGAAAAAGGCCTTGACAAAGATAATGGGATGTGATTCCTGCGCATGTAACTCCCAGGTCAGTGCTCTCTGCTATATTTGCTGACTCTCCATATTTGGTTGACTCAGATCTAAAACTGATAACAATTTGCCTACTATAATTTCTGACACATAGTAATTATGGAGAAGATTTGGTGAATGATGGATGTATATATGAGTGCTCTACTCATATACTTGGAACAAAGAAAAGAAAATCTATGCACTTTGAGATAAAATTGGTAATATTTTAAATTGTTAAAATTCTCCAAACTCTTGATAGTGTCCCAGAAATTTTCTCATAATCCCAATAGAAGATTCTTTGTATGTGTTTGCCACTTAATTAAGACTGGTTTCCTCCATTCTGGACTTTCAATAAATAAGGAATCGTGTTTAGAATTATCTTTTACTTTTTGTGTGGTCATATTATAAAACTATATTCCTGCTAATTGTACATTTTTTGTATTTTAACTGTATTTGGTCTCAAATGGCTATTGTGAAGAGACCTGTAAATGAACATTTCTATAGGTAAATGTATTTGATGCCCAAAGCAATTAACTGATTTATGGACAACCTTTTGAAATGCAACCAGGTCATAAATGAGGAAACTAATTGTAATTGACTTGTAGACACTTAGTGTGTCCTGAAATCTGACCAATTAAGTCATAAGCAAGCTGTGGATTCATCTTCCTTGCCCTGTGTTTTCCTCTCTAGTGAGATTAGACTGTAGATAGATCAAAGGAAATCTGGTTAAAAAGATGCTGGTGTGTGCTTCTGGTGGGAATGATTGTGATGGTGCAGGGCAGTTGAATGAGGCCACCAAGTATCTTTTTTCGTAGGAGGAAAAGCTATCAGGGAAATAAAAGACTGCTTATAGTAACTCCACCTGGCAAGTATGTTTAGGAGAGGTAGAAAGATAAACTATTTCTTTAGAGAGAATTGATGCTGATGTGTAAACAAGTTCACTGGGGTAAATATCCACACAGGAGCATGGAACTCCTTAGAATAAGAACTGAGCCAGGAAGGGGAGCATTCTGGAAACTAGCTACGCTGATATTCCTATGGATGTCAGATGGATTGGAGAGATTGGAAGAAACAGATTTACATGCATACAGAATTTGAGGGGATGGGGCAGCTAATATTATTGGGGACAAGTCAAGGCCATCTTGATGAACAGAATATACATATTAGAATGTTATCCAAATACTGACTTTTCAGTATCTAGTAAGTCTTGAGAAATAATGTTCATAAAAACACAAATAGGTGTAACCAAGGGTAAATGGCATGTGTATATAGTGGATTAGATCTTATTTTAAAGTTGTCTTTCTCTTGTGTCTTTTCCAGATATGGATCAACTCATAAACAACTTGAAGGTCCAACTTAATTCAGAAGGTGGCTCAATGCATGTATTCAAACAGGTCAGTTATCAGGAAAAAGAGATACTAATATTGTGCCATAATACTGTTGAGTACCTCGTAATCATTATTGAGCTGAAGATCACTTTTCTTTCTAACAACATGTTGAGGACTGAAAAGGGGCAAAGAAGGGAGATTTATAAGAAGTACCTGAATGTTCGGGTTTCAGATTAAAATAGGGAGTAGATCTGGCCTTAAAGAAACATAGCCTCTGGGATCAAGGCAATAGGGGTGTGGATGAAAAGGGGCCACGTGCTAAACCTGACAAGCTCAGGGAAGGCCTGCGTGGCAGCCTTGCGCACTCAGAGACCTAAAGTAACCACAAGGATGGTCTGAAATTAAAACTTTTTAAACTAAAAGCAGTTTATGATAAGTGGTCATGTCCTAAGGCAGCATTTTTCCCTAACAAAGGTTAATTTCCACCTTAACTGAGCCTGTTGATTGTCCTTTTGCATCTACGATAACATCGTTGGAAAGTCAAAGTAATATTCCTTTTCCCGGACCCCTCAAAGCTTTTCCCGGACCCTTCAAAGCACAGACACTGCTCCGCGGAGACCACAAATCCCCTCATTGTTACTGAGTTAATTGTTGACTGGTAACTATTCTGTACCCACCAATGTAAAAGAAGTGTGCCCATCATTTTATGTTTTATCCAATCGCAGAGGTTTCCCCGCTTTGCTTTCTCCCACCTCCCTAATCTATCACCAATGGATTTCATGTAATCCACTTATGCCTCCTCTTTTGATTGTAATGTATAAAACAAAGTGCAAAACTGCCATTCTCAGGAGCATTATCTCAATCCATTGAGGTTTTGGCTTCTGGCAATTGTCGACAGGTTGGCTCAAATAAACTCACAAAAATTCTTCACAGGTTTGAATGATTTCTTACGTTAACAGGGGCAAGATTAGACACTTGGTAAAGAACAGCAACTATTTATCTAGCACTATTCCATAAATGCATTATCTTATTTAATCTTCACAATAACTCTGTTGGATAGTGTATTAGTCAGGGTTCTCAAGAGAAATAGAACCAACAGAATGTATATATCTCAATCTCTCTCTCAATAGATCTATCTATCTATCTCTATCATCTATCTATCATCTATCATCTATCTATCATCATCTATCTATCGTCTATCTATCTAAAGACAGAGAGAAAGATTTTAAGGAATCTGCTCACATGATTGTGGAATCCTGGTGAATCCAAAATCGAATGAGTAGGCTGGCAGGCTGGAGAGCTAAGGCAAAGTTGCAGTTTGAGTTTAAGGACAGTCTGCTGGAAGAATTCTTTCTTGTTTGAAAGAGGTCATTCTTTATCTATTAAGGCCTTCAAGTGATTGGATGAAGCCAACCAGCATTATGAAGGGTGACCTGCTTTACTCAAAGCCCAATGCTTTAAATATTAATCTCACCCAAAAATATACCTTTCCTGAAACATTCAGAATAACATTTGACCAAGTATCTTGGCACTGTGGCTCAGCCAAATTGACACATAAAATTAACCATCACAGACTGATATTCTTAATGTTCCAATTTTACAGATAAGAAAAATTTGAACTTCAATGCTCCCAGAACAAGGATTCAAAACAGATTATGTTTTTTACAGCCAGGAACTCTGTTAGATGTGGAAGTCCCGTTTTGCTCAGGGTTGAGTTCTAAAGTCACTGTATATGTGAAACACAAATACAGTCAAAATTACCCTTGAAAATCTCTTAAATTGCTTATAAAATTAAGTATATCATTTTGTATATCTAGTACAGATCTTTTTTTAAAAGTCACCAGATAAAGTATCTGGCGTCATTACAAAAAATATTTTTAATCATTAAATGTTTTGCCCTTGGTGTACAATTGAATTTGTTTAAGTTGCATGTGCATATGATACTTTTGTACTGTTTTAATGATATTAAACCCAATTTAATGTCTTGTTTACCTTATTTGTAGCTATTGCCATTTAGGGACTATTAGCACATCAAGACTTGCTAATTGTTGCAAAACATCTGCTGTTTGCTGGTTCTTAGTCATAGTTAATACTAAAAGGAAGCAGAGTATAAGTGTTAGATAAAAATCTATTGGACTTGTAATAAAAAATACTCAGTGAAATGTTGTCAAACATGCATAACTACCTTATTTTCAAATCTCTGTACACCTAAGTACAGTTCCAAAAATATTTTTGATGTGCTGTTTAAGTATACTAAGGTTCCAGAATTTGAAGCACTTTGAAATTGGTTCAATGTGTAGAAATTCTGGATAGTAGATGACCTAAGCACTTGTTTTTTGTTTCTTGTCATTTCCAAGATACCTTGGTTTTAGTAAAGCAAAGGTGCTTGTGGTACATGCCCACAGAACACTGGCCATGCCCGAGGGGACAAAGACCCAGAGCTTGTATTCTATAACAGTACAAATGCTGGCAACATGCCTCCTGGTTTGGTCTGTTATATGATTTGTTTGTGTCATGAGGTAGGATTGATAGGTGGCTCTCTAGCTCAGTACACACATGCTGCTCCTCCTTCTTTGAATTCTTATACCACCATACCGTATAATGAATGAGCACTTGGTTGTCACCTACCCTTTGTTTCTAGTTTGTGATTATTCCCTGAAAGTACAACTTCTTGGACTAAGTGTATTGAGCAACTTTAGGGTTCCTGTTGTACTAAATATGTCTTCCCCCCTCCAATTTATTATTCGTAACATTTTGGCATACAGGCTCAAATT